TAACTTACAGTGGTCAAAATCTAACTGTCATGAAATATACAAGAAACACTGTCTTAGGAGTTAGATAATGTGGTTTCTGTATTTTATTCCTGCCTCTAATTGTAAACAATAATTTCTAACAATATTTTCAGATACCAAATTTTGTGATGCTACATCCCAAAGGGGATGTAATGGAATTAAATGTTTATCAGACACTGGGGATACAACGTCAAATAAACATAATTCCAGAGTTTGTGAGTTTACAGTTAGTGCAGGAGATATACAAGATGAAAGTGTGATAAATGCTAAGAGCAAGATTCTAGAGGGTGTTATGGGGGCACAAACTAAAGCTGTTGGATCAGGAAAGAATTAGTAGAGGAAGTGCTACAGTTGCTTAGAGAAGAAAAAGACAGGTACAAAGAAATGTTCCAAGTAAAAATAACAGTAGGTGCAATTAGCCACATTAGGAAACTCAAATGACAAGAAGTAGTCAGAAGGTTGTTGCATTTTCACATAAGAAAGGATAGTGCCTTGAATGCGGACAAGAGATGGGATAGGCTGGCAAAACACTCAGAAGGCAGACATGGCAGTACTTTGTGATTAACTGGCTATGAGAGATCAGGGAAGTTTGAATGTAAGGAGAGATGCCTTGGCTGGAAGTAACAGGGTTGAGTACCTTAAAGCATACAGGTTACTTCCTATAGCATAAAGATAGTATGTGCACAGAAGCCATCTATATGCTCTTTTCCTGATGAAGAATTAAGACGACAACATTCTGAGGACTCCTTTATTTATTTATTTTTTGAGAATGAGTCTCACTGTTGCCTAAGCTGGAGTGCAGTGGTGTGATCATGGCTCACTACAGCCTTGACATCTCAGGCCCAAGCAATCCTCCCACCTCAGCCTCCCAAATAGCTGAGACCACAGGTTGTGTACCACCATGCCCAATAAATTATTTCAGTAAAGATGGGGTCTCCCTGTGCTGTCCAGGTTGGTCTCAAGCTCCTAGGCTCAAGTGATCTTCCCACCTCAACCTCCCAAAGTGCTGGGATTACAGACAATGAGCCACCATGCCGAGCCTCCAATAATATTTAAAAGAACAGACAGAGGGAAAGCCTGCCAAAGGGTCTGAGAAGAAACAACCAGAGAGGTAGAAGGAAAAACAGGAGGGAATGTTATCACAGTTGTCAAAATTATCAAGTATCAGTTCAAAATTCAAAGCCTAACATATATCAGTATTAGCTTTAGTTTTAACTAAATAGTTTAAAAACTATTGAAAATCTACTTATCTACCATGATTGCAACTATTAATATGTACATATATTCCAAGTCTGGAAATATGCAAACACTAAGACAGTAATTGTGTTTAAAACTTGCATTAGGTATGATTATTGTTATTCTATTTTCCAAACTTCCCAATTTTTTTTAAAAGGCAAACATATCACTACTATAGAAGTTGGTGTACAAATCTATTATTCAAAAAAAGACTTTTAGATAGAATTCTGATATTCTGATGACCTATCAAGTTGTGCATTTTTAACCATGGTGCTAAAGAAACAGTTTATATTTGATCTCTAGACTGTTTCAACATCCCTCAGGAGTAAACAAATTCTTACGGTTTTAAGCAGGTCTATTATTGCATATTCAACCTTTCATTACAAATACTTAAAAATAGGGAAAAGGCTGTTATAAGGTTTGGAGCTCCTCTGAGAGTAAAATTAAACCAACAAAAAGTGTATGACAAATTCAGTACTAAAGAAAACAAAACCAAAAAACCTTATGTATCCAAAAAAAATTTGCCTGATAAACGCTTTAAAAATGGGCCAAAAAGTGGTTTCTGAATAGAATTATTCACAACTGAACTAATGGAAAACTGTCACGTAGCACTTAATATGGGTTTTACATGCAATATATTTCATTATCCCAAGAAATATTTGCAGCTCAAAGCTGCTTTTTAATTAATGCTTCCTAGTGTTTTCTGTATAAATCCTAAATATTAAAGAATGAGTTCCTAAGGATACATATACTATTCTAATAAGTACTAAGACTTTTCTAAAAAAAAAAAAAAAAAAAAAAAACCCATATATTTGTTTATAATCATAAGCATTAAATCTGAAAAGAATTTATTTTTTTAATGTAATTAATACTGACTTTTAAGCAACCTCCAACATTTGTTTTTTGGCAAACACTTTAAAAGATAGTTTTGTAATGGAGAATGACCCATTGCTAGTTAAGTTCAAGATAAATCAAATTTATGAATTCTCATCTTCAAACAATATAAAATTCTCCTTTATCTTATCCTTCGAGTTTTTAGAGATTACTCTACATGCCAGCACACTGATACTCAGGTTCCAGTAAGTAGTAAGATTTGAATTCTTGTTCCACCACTCAATGGCTATGTGACTTGAGCAAGTTACTTAACTTCCCTAAGCTTTTGTTTTCTTCTCTGTAAACTGAGGATATTGATAATGTCTATTAATATATAACTTGTGAAAATTAAATGAGATAATGTGCCAAAAATATTCAGCACAGTGCCTGACAGTAGCCAAAACACAACTACTCTGAAGAAAAATCCAACTGATGATTGAGCACAGAGACTGACAGAATGAAATTCCTAAGCTAAATGTGGCTTGGCTCTGATTTGTCCCATCAGTCTAATGGGCATTTAGAATAATCCAGCATTGAACAAACATCAGTAAGAGTCATAGGACCAATGTTCTCATTAGAAATTTCTTTCACAAGTCATACTTAGGTGTCTAACAAGGATTGTCCTTTAGACACAAAACAGTCACTAGAAATCTCTGAAAAAAAAAAAAAAAAAAATCTGACAAATGCTCTGAACCTTTCACAGAAAAGTGAACATAAAAAAATTCTATCCCAAATTCCAGATGGTTCATGATCTCTTGAGCCCCAGCCACTGACTACTAAATATGGATATCCTATGCTAGAGAAATTAGAAATTATTTTCCTGATCATCAAAGTTATGTAGATTATAGAAAATAAAAAAAATTTAAAAGTACATGGAATAAAAGATAATTAGTTTGTTGTAATTCCTTCCAGACTACTATTGATTGCAATTACTGGTTTATGGGACTTAAGCTTATAGAATGTAATGAAGTCATGAAATACTGTATCGGAAACAATTTAGAATATTATTCAAAAGGAAAAATGGGCAAGGGACAAAATATCATATCTCTAGTTAAGGATAAAGTTGGAATATATATAGTGGCCTGTTTAGTTGATATCAACCCATACCTTTTGGCTTTTTTGGAAAATAAATAATTTTAAATAATTCTTGACTGACATGTAGGATATGTATACCACACTTTAATGAAAATATTAATTTTACAATTATATGACCTTGGACAAATAATCCACCCTCCTTTTCTCCATTTGCAAAATATGATGATCTTCAGATTAAAAGGTATAAGGTCTTATCCTGAGCTAAATTCTAACCTTCCAATGGTCCCCCTACAAAATACAGCTGTGTAAAACAAAGCAAAATAAGAAAGAACACAAAACAAAGTATTTTTTTTTCTAAGGAGAATACGATTCTGAGAGAAAATTAATTTTCAGGGTCTATAAAAAATGTGCAATGACTTCTAATATATCATTTTCTTTCTCTTTCTTTTTTTTTTTTTTTTGAGACAGAGTCTTGCTCTGTTGCCCAGGCTGGAGTGCAGTGATGTGATCTTGGCTCACTGCAACCTCCACCTCCCGGTTTCAAGCGATTCTTCTGCCTCAGCCTTCCGAGTAGCTGGGATTACAGGGACCTGCCACCATGCCTGGCTAATTTTTGTATTTTTAGTAGAGACAGGTTTCACCATGTTAGCCAGGTTGTTCACGAACTCCTGACATCAGGTGATCCGCCCACCTCGGCCTCCCAAAGTGCTGGGATTACAGATGTGAGCCACTGCACCCTGCCTAATGTATCATTCTCGTGTTATGATATTGGCATCTTAGGTATTTTCAATGTAAGAATTAAAAAAAATTTCTTGGCTTTATTTTAGACATTTAGAGGAAACAGGTCTTTTACTAAGAAAATAAAATCCCCCAAAGCAATAAAATTTAGCTATATATTAAGAAAACTGAATTTTTTTTTTTTTTAAAGAAAAGATGAATATATTATTTCTCAAATATCTCCTGGTATAATGCCTGGAAAGAATTTGTGGTTCTTCACTATACTGTAGGCATCTACAGCAGATGCAATAGCAATATTTTAATAATCTTTTTATAATTCAGGATTTCACTTTCTTTTTTTAAATTGATGTATTTACTAAACACCACTGCAAAGATATGGCCTCCAGCCTCAAGAGACTTCGAAAGGCTTACATACTCCAAATATTTAAAATTCCAAGTTGTAACTTATATTTAATACTATACTCTTACACAATGTGCTCATTTTGTTCATAAATATTCATCTCAATACAATAACATCAGGTATAATACATAAAATCTAAGCCATTAAGTCTTACCAATTTATGACCTGATGACACTCTTGTGGACAACATTCAGTCCTTAGAAGCTAGAATAACCCTCCAACCATGTGAGGGCATCACAACTTTTAAACTTTCGGCTTTCGATCATTATTATGTCACATTCCTCCTCCGATGCTGAATTCTAAAAAAAATTCTAGCAAAGAGTTTAAGTAAATAAGTGTTTTAATCAAATAGCCTTTAAAAATCTTTTATAGCAAAATTTTATGTTTTACCATGATTATACAACTGATATTTTGTACTTAAAAAAATGTAAAATAAATTTCATATTTGATCTGGAAAATTCAAACTTTAAATTTCAACACGGATTTTCAGGCCATCAGGATACTTGTTAGTAAAGAGTAAAGTAGAAATGGAACCAATTAAAGGTTTAAGATCATGATTCAGAAATTATGATTTGACACCATAACCTGATACAGACAGCTCTGTAGTCCTGCAGAATGGTATTAGAGTTCTATTGTTTGGTCCATATCCATGTATATGAGTTTTTTTTTTTTTTTTATTCTTTTTTTTTTTTTTTTTTTCGAGAGGGAGTCTCGCTCTGTCACCCAGGCTGGAGTGCAATGGAGCAATTTCGGCTCACTGCAACCTCTGCCTCCTAGGTTCAAGTGATTCTCCTGCCTCAGCATCGCAAATAGCTTGAGATTACAGGGACATGCCAATTCGCCTGGCTAATTTTTTTTTTTTTTTTTTGTATTTTTAGTAAAGATGGGGTTTCACCATGTTAGCCAGAATGGTCTCAATCTCCTGACTTTGTGATCTGCCCACCTCAGCCTTCCAAAGTGCTGGGAGTACAGGCCTGAGCCACCACGCCTAGCTGAGTTTCTAGACTTATATAGCACGAGTGGCTGGATCAGTAATAATCCATACTGTCATTTAAGTACATAAGACAGAATTCCATTTTTATATCTAAATCTTCATCTGTCTCTACTACTTCCGATTTTGAAAACAGACAACATAATGGCAGGAATTAAATTTTATTATGTGCTTTATGTAACTGACATAATAATGTATCCTATATAACAGTGCTCATCTGTATATGAGCATGAAAGAAAACTGGAGGAAGATTTAATAATGGCAAAAATCACTACATTAAAAATAGCGTTCTAAATTTATTAAACTTTACCAGAAAGCTTTCAATTGCGCATCTATTTTAATCCCTGAATAATAGTATCATTAATAACATTTTTTCTCTGATAAGAATGTACATTTATATTTTTAGTTGTCAGTAACCCACAGAAAAGGAAACCCATAGATCTGTGGGCACAGTTTTGCCTAAATTAACCCCCTCAATAAAATATTATAAAGGGGCAAAGGGGAAGGGGGAAAGAAAAAGGCCCTTATTGAGGATGATCAATACACACAAAGCTATAGAAAACTCAAAGACAGCATTGTAAAGGAAACTCTGCAGCTATCTCAAAAGATACTTGACCCAAACGTACAGGTTGGGTCATGCTGTTACAGATTTTTAACTTTCAATGGAACTTTTCTACTAGACATGGTCACTTAAGTCTCTGACACAGCCTGAAAAACTATTCCAATTTTTCCAATATAATCTTTCCAAATGTAATCTCACAACACATTTGACTTCAATATAAATCATACCACTTAATTTTGTCTTCTGTCAAAGCACAGCCTTATAATGTAATCACCTGGTGAAGGCAAAAATCCATATTTATGAGGATAAATAGTAGTTTAAAGATGTGGTCATTTCATTAATGTATTACCAAATGTTTTTAGAAAGTTTTAATAAAACTCTTCTATCAACCAAAATACTATAATAATTTAAAAAATCTTTTGAAGGTTTACTTTTTTTTGGGACAAGTATGCAGTCATATTTAGTAAATACTTCCTGAAATACTTATCTACAATGCTGGTAAATCTGCTTGTCTGCAAGGCTTTGATGAAATGGTCATTTAAAGGGCCGACTGTTTGACCCTTTGTTAAAGGGCCTGCTGACAAAAAAGCCTTGTTTTGGTAAATGCTTGGAAAGTCTTTTTGGAAGCTGAAATTAAACCAGTCATATGAGGCAGTTATTTTACTATAAAACTTACAGAAAAAAAAATTTAAAAGAATGTGTACATTACACAAATGTATGGTAAATTCAGGACTTAAGAGCTGTATACATTTTAGAAAATATAAAACTTATATATCAAAATTTTCCTAAGCATATATTTTCAAAATTAGTTGTTACCAAGTACAGGGTCATATTTCAAGAGTTTAAATCATTAAATTCCAACATGTGGGACATCCTTATTAAAAATCTGAAATGAAATTGGGTAACTAAAGTGGTTACAGATGAACAGCATTCAGATTAACCAGATATTCTTTAAAATTTATTTAAAATTAGAATTCTTCCTAATAAAAATTTAATGAGAAAACTGTGTTAATATTATCAGTCATAATCTTGAGTCTCTGACAAGATTGCTATCAAAACCAAATCCTGAATATTCCCCTCTAGTTATTTATCATTTCCTTTTGTGAGAAGGTGAATCTATATTGAAAGAAAAAAACAGTGAAGAGGAGGAAGGTGGATGATTTATAATTTCCATGTAATTACCTGAAAATTGATATGCTAAATCAAACAGGTCTACAAGAGGTCCTAAAGGAACTTGCTTTTTGAATGAATGTGCTTAGCTTAGTAGTTTAATAGAATATTTTGTTTTCAGGTTTAACCACATTTCCTTAAAAAATTCTGAAAATTCTATAAGGCTATCTACTAATATAGCCATATTTTCACCCTGTTGTTCAAAAAGTTCACTACATTGTTTGGAGAAATCCTAGCCATGATAAACCAATGCCTGGTCAGAAATAACTTACTTTTAAATGGAGAAGGGGAGGAAATAGGCAACCCTATATGCCCTCCAATAAATTACACAGAGTTATTCCATAGGTTACATATTGAAAAAATAAGCTTCAAAATATTAAAGATAAACTTACTTTAAAAATTAGTACAAAATGTACCTAATAGACTAAAACTGCTAGGAAGACAGTATGTTCCAATAAATTAACACATAAAAAGACAGGCTAGGCACAGTGGCTCAGGCCTGTAATCCCAGCGCTTTGGAAGGCGAGGCAGGTGAACTGTCTGAGGTTAGGAGTTCAAGACCAGCCTGACCAACATGGTGAAACCCCGTCTCTACTAAAAGATACAAAAATTAGCCAGCAAGGTGGCGGGCACCTGTAATCCCAGCTACTAGGGAGGTTGAGGCAGGAGAATCGCTTGAACCTGGGAGGCGGATGTTGCAGTAAGCCGAGATCGTGCGCCACTGCACTCCAGCCTTGGTGACAAAGCAAGAATCTGTCTCAAAATCAAAAACGAAAAAACAGAAAAAAAACAAAAAAACACCACATATAAAAAGACACACAACACACAGTAACAAGAAACTTCATATATCTGTGGTTGAGCCAAGATGTAATTTAAGACACAACTGGCTGGCTAAACACTATATATAAAGCATACATACACATATACGTAAGCATATGCATATACACATACATATATAAGCATATGTACATGTATATACACATATACAAAGTGTTTGGCATTTATGCATTATATCGAATGCACCTACTGGTAGAAGAAACACAAAATACACAGCTTAACGAATTTCATTAATGCCGCTTTGAAAAATAGCTCTAAAAAAGATAGGCTTTTCAACATGTTTACTCTCAAATGATTTATACCCTTGATCCTTTCAAAAGGAGCAGAAATTAGCTTATAAAGGCAAAGGAAAAAGATATTGAAATTAAAGGTAGAGCCCCCTCTAAAGATGGAAAATCAAAGTAAGTGGAAGCCAGTTACATAAAACTCAAATATATGTATAATAAGGATCTGCATGCTTTGTTAACAAAAGGCTGCATATTTGGGCTGGGCACAGTGGCTCACGCCCGTAATCCCAGAACTTTGGGAGGCCAGGGAATGGCGGATCACTTGAGGCCAGCCATTTGAGACCAGCCTGGCCAACATGGTGAAACCTCATCTTTATTAAAAATACAAAAATTAGCAGGGCATGGTGGTGGGCGCCTATAATCCCAACTATCTGGGAGGCAACAGAATTGCTTAAACCCGGGAGGCAGAGGTTGCCGTGAGCCGAAATCGTGCCACTGCACTCCAGCCTGGGTGACAGGACAAGACTCTGTCCCAAAAAAAAAAAAAAAAAAAAAAGCCACATATTTCTGACTCTCAGTTTATTAGTAATAGCCAATATAAAAGAAATAGAACATTTATTTATATATTTATTTGACTGAGACAGAGTTTCACTCTGTGACCCTGGAGTGCAGTGGGACAATCTCAGCTCACTGCAACCTCTACCTCATGGGTTTCAAGCAATTCTTGCGCATCAGCCTCCTAAGCAGCTGTGATTACAGACAGGCATGGGCCATCACACCCGGCTAATTTTTGCATTTTTTATAGAGACGAGGTTTTGCCATGTTGCTCAAATATGGAATCCTGGTAAGAAGATTGAGTTCTCTGTACTACTCTTGTAATTTTTCTGTAAATTTGAAATTATTTCAAAAGATTCAGACATTTCTCTTCTGATTAGAAAATATCCTCAAAATGTTCTAATCTTAAAACATTCTTAAATCTCTTCTAGCTTTAATTTCTATACCAAGCTGCAAGTCTACAGCTTCAGCTGCATCCCAAGTATTTTCACCTTGACTTTGTACCAGCTCATCAACTCATCCAGAAAACAGCTGAGAAGAAAAACCTCATCACTACTTTCTCCTTCCCAAACAAATTATTTCACTAATACTTCCTAACAGAACCAGCATTCCCTCAGTCAATTAGTTTGGCACTTTGGAGTCAAGTTTGACGGCTCCCTTATCATGATTAATCAGTTGTAAAATCCTGTAATTCCTATCTCATCTCCATTGCCTAATTTAGGCTTCAATACCTTTCTAGAATCTGTCTCTAATCTAACCCCTCTCGTTTCTTGTCTTCGAATGTTATATACCCACCAAATTTAACTTTATCCTTATCATATAAGCCCAGTACTTGATGCACAGTATTTCAGTCTAACTGGATGTTCACTTTCCCTCAGTTCTTCAATTCTGCATGACCAAATTCTACCCATCTTTCAGTTTCCAACTCAAAAGCCCACCTCCTGAAGAAACTTTGACCAATTCCTTCAGCTGTACTTGAGAGACATGAAGTGCTTACACGTTATATGACAGGTATCACTTTCAATTATGTGATCATGTATTTACCATTTTCCATATTAAGACCAAGCTCACTGAAAGCAGTTACTAAATCTTAGTCTTTCTTCTAGTATTTACCTATTACAGGAGAACAAACTTTTGCTGAGTCATATAATTGCAAATTTTCCTGATATTTTCCCTTAGCTTCATTCTGAGCTACTCTAAAAAATTGAGATTTTAAGGCTTTAGAGTCTTTTGACTAGAAAAGGTGATCCAAAACCACTTAAGATGGCAACAGGAAAAGCCCTTAAATAGCAAGTATCTATAATTTGGCACAAACATATATTGTTAAAAAGACTATTTATAATATGACCAAGCATCTAATAATTTACTGAACTTCCCAAGTAGCTTTTCAGATTACTGTAGGCTTGGGTTTCTAACAGTTTTAAGTGGCTTCTTTCATCTTTCATTAAAGCCCCAATGACCTACATTCACTACACTACATACAACTGTATTTCTCTACTACATACTACTCTTATTTCCACATCATCAAGAATTTGACTTGTATTTTGAGACCATCAATTTCATAACCAAGCATTGTGGCTTTTAAAAACTTTGAGGCCTGGTTTTCCCTATGGTCCTATGACTATGACCTAGACTGACGCCCATTTATATACAGTCCATGATTTCTAAGTGAAGTTAACCTTAAGTTCTTCACTATGCAATGTGTGAGTTATTTTTCTCCATGTTACTCTACCTCTGCCTGGCACCTGGGAAAGAATAATTCACTAGTTTTTAAGATGCTTCTGAAATCATCAGCATGGTGATAATGGGTGCCTACTTATTTGTGGGGCTTCATTTACCACCACTATATATGGCAAATTCTTATTTCCAAATTAGCTTACTGTCACTCATTTTCTTCTGAGGGAAGCTCCGTTGGTTTCTCTATTCAGACCAACACTTACTGCCTCTGACGTGGAATTCTTTCCTACAAGAGCGGAATAGTTTGCTAGCCTTCCATTCCTTAAGCAAATACACAGCTCTCTAAGGTTTACTGATAATCACAGCCAATAATAGCAAAACAGAAGCAAAGGTGTTCAATTCCAATGCTTGTACTTACTGCTTTTCTTTTCCATTTAGGAAAGTGGGGGAAATAAAACCCCAGAGTAGGCATTTTAAATGTAACTGAAACTAAATTTCACTTAAAATCAACATCCCTAGTTAACAATTAGATAGTTTTATTACGTCTAGTGATGGCAAGACCATTTCCCAGAGGATTCATTTATTCATAGTAAGCTCACTCAGGGCTGCCTGTTGAAACACCCCGGATGTCCAAGTAGAGTATAAAGAAATTCGGTTTTCTAGTTAGTTTTGTATTTAGAACAACTATTCTGTCGAAATGGAGTAAAACATCATTTCTTACTCTAGTTCTAGAAACATCATCTAAAATCACAGTTTTTGTGGCACCCCTGTCACTTACCAATACTACAAAATGCCATTAACACACATAGCTAAGTATTTTTTTCTGATATACTTAGTCAACGTCCCTGACTTTACATAAGTTCTTCCAATTTCTTGATTTCTGTATTTGTTTCAGTTAAATTTATAAATGCTGTCATCCACAACAGCTATCACTTCCTTGATTTAATGTTATCTGAACATAACCATGACCTTATGTTTCCATCTAAATCAGGCATCCAAATACGAGTTATAGAGCGATTATATATAAAGCTTTCATCTGATCCTTTAAGTACCAATGTTTACCTACCCCTCTTACCCTGGGCCTTTCCCCTTCCCTCACTTAAGAACTACAGATGAAACTACGGATGAAAACATTTATATAATGTGATACAAAAGAGTCCTGTGAGAATAGTAATTGTAGTAAGCACTGCAGAAAAGGTGGAAATCTGGAGGCAACCTTAGTTAACTAACTCTCCACACCAATAAGGCCAGATTTGGTACTCACTATGTTCAATAAAGGAACAGTATTTTGTTACAGATTAAAATGGAAGACATAATTATTAAACACAATGTGGAATCCTGATCTGGATCCTGGAACAGAAAAAGGACACTTGAAAAATTAAAATAATAAAACTGTAGTTTAGCTAATAGTATTCTATCAATGTTAACTTTCTAACTTTGATAGTTGTACTAAGGTTGTATAATATGTTAACACTAACAGAAGCTAGGTAAAGGACATACAAGAACCTTCAGCACTATTTTTGCAACTTTAAAATTATTTCAAATTAAAAAGTAAAATAAGGAAGGAAGAACAAGAAGAAAAAAAAGAAGGAAGGAAGGAGGAAATGAAGGAAGAAAGGAAGGAAAGAGGGGGAGGGAGGAAGAATAAAAGGTGATAGTCATTAAAAATCTATACTCTAATTTTTAGCTTCTTGGATTATCCTCTACTAGATGTCTTAGTGGAATAGGTTGAAATATAATGAGATAATAAATTATGTAAGTACTAGGTACAAATTAGTAAGGAATATATTGGAGTTGGTCACAAAATAGTTCAGGTACATATCCTCAAGATATTTATGCATAATTACTAAGAGAGAACATTTAACCAATACCAATCTCCAACAAATAACCCACTTGAGTGATTCTTTAAAATTATATAGTCCATGTCTACAATGCTGCAGAACCATACAAATGAATCTCAAAGAATCTCAAACATAATACTGGGTGAAAGAGGTCAGACACAAAATGCATAGTGTATGGTCCTACATATATAAAACATTAGAAATCAGGATTAGGAGGGGAAGTGACTGATGGGGGACATGATGATGTCATGAAATGGGCTTATAATATTTTATGTCTTGATCTGGGTGCTGGCTACATATATGTGTTCAATTTGAGCTATATATTTACTAATGGTACACTTTTCCAATACAAATTATACTTCAATAAAAAATTTTACAAGTCCTATCACCAAGCATTCAAAAGCTATATCAGCTAAGTCGTACAACCTGAGTTTTACCATTTGGGATAACAAGCACTGGTGGATGTTAACAATGGACCCAAGCTTCTTACAGATGAGCCAAGCAAAATAAATTATCTCATACAGTACCAATGGTATTTATGATATAAGCAGCTTGGTTCTAATTTATTCCTAGCTTCAAAAATAACATCTCACGAGGAACAATGACAGGAAATACTGGAAGGCTTTCCCAACACAAAATACTTGAGGCTATTTAAATAAGAACACATTTTTTATCCAATAATTTTAAAATTAGAGGTAATAAATGTAAGTGAATAATCACTGTAGAAAACAATTTAAGAGATCATCAATTATCTAGTAAACAAATTTAGGATAAACTTAGATATTCATTTTAAGTTAGTAAATTAAGTCTACTACTTTCCTTATTAACTTCTCTCTAAATACTGGTGCTCTCATAACGATAGACAAGCAGACTCAAGGGGATGGTGCACCTAGCAACTGCTGTCTCACTTGTTTCAACTACATTTATGCATTTCTTAATGAAGACAAAAGCCCTGAAAGTGCTTATCAATGAGGTTAAAGCCTTATGAACTACCTGATTTCTTCCTTTAGTCTAACTGAAGTTCCTTCCCTTTAGTACTCCTTTACTTTAGTGACCTGGTATCTAGAAGACAGTAAAATTGTTTGCTATAATTTCTTAGGCTGAGCTTTTGTAAACAAAGGACTCTCAATGAGAACCTGCTCCCCAGTGATCATCAGATAGGTTTCTAAATCAATTCTGCCAATTTAACAAAGCAATGCCAAGTATTAACTTTGGAAACCTGTTCTTTAGAAAATAGGAAGTCAAATTTTAAAGTTACTATTCTGAAATGCCAATAGGCTAGGATCTCACTAAAAAGTAACTCCTCCATAGTAAGATAATCTCCCAGAAAGCTAACTATGGAAGCTATAGTATTTATTTTAATAAAGAGTCAACTCAAAACAGTTTGGGCTTCTGAAGAAAGGACTGGATTATGTTTGAGTTATCAGTATCTACTGTCCCTACATTTGAAGATGGTTTCAGCTGATTGATTCCCTGAGGACTCTGCAAATGGCCAATAGAGAAGACAGAAACCAATGATGGCACCTACAGAAAAAGGGAAAGGGAGGCTTGAGGGTAGCTTCAATTTTAGTACAATAACTGAGTAAAGCACTGGATATAAATGGAAGGAGAAAATATCTAAATATAAGCAGAGGCAGACTGCTTGGTGAAAAGTCTATTAATTTGCCAATTCTAATTGAAATATGGAAGGAAACAAAGGGGCCATTAAAAAACTTTAAGCCAATATGAGAAAGGTACATTAGTTACTTATATTTGGATTAAAAGATATTCTGCTAAGTTGAAAGAATCCTGGGGAAAAAAGGACATTCCCATCTTTCTAGTTAGGCAAACTCAAACTAGGGATATTAAGCAATTTAGGACAGGTTTACTGAAAACAGACGCTTAAAAGCTGCTTCTACTGAAAATGATTTCCAACATTTCATAAATAGGAGCCTAAAATTTGTTATCTAGCAATAGCAGGATGAATTTATGCCTCAAAATAAATAGATAATATAGAAGATAATGTTAGGGACTTACAGTCCCTTAAACTTCTAAATGTCTCTCTTTTTTGAGACGGAGTTTTGCTCTTGTCACCTAGATTGGAGTGCAATGACACAATCTCAGCTCACCGCAACCTCCACCTCCCAGGTTCAAGCAATTCTCCTGCCTTGGCCTCCCGAGCAGCTGGGATTACAGGCACACGCCACCATACCCAGCTAATTTTTGTATTTGTAGTATAGATGGGTTTCACCATGTTGGCAGGCTGGTCTCAAAACTCCTGACCTCAGGTGATCTACCTGTCTCAGCCTCCCAAAGTGCCAGGATTACAGTCGTAAGCCACCATGCCGGCCCATGTCTCTCTTTAATAGAAGAATCATCCTTGCAAAACACCTGTTTGCCAAATTCGTAGCAAAGTAAAAAAAAATCCTAAATTTATAATAGTAAAAAATGAACAATGTAATTTGGCGATGTCCAAAACAAACAAAGTCAGAAGTTATATTTAATATTTTTTATAGCTTAACATACACAAATCTTCAACCCGTTTGCAAGGAATAAATGGTCTCATGATACTTTATTAACTGATATACCTATCAATAATTCTGTAGATATTTGCCAACTGAAAGTATAGATTATTAAAACTAATAAAGTTAGCTATGATTGCTCCTCTCAGTGGAAAATTTAGTAAGTTAGTTGAAAAGTTAAAAGGAAGCCACTAGTCAGTTTCTATTAGGTTGGGCTTGTCACCTTAGTACCCGCAATGCCAATTTACAGTGAAGAATGGCTGACCTGATATTTTGATTATATTTGATTATATTTTGGCATTAACACACTACAGACAGATATTCACTAACTTCTTTGGCTCTGGACAACAGGCTCCAAGGAGATGAGAAAATATTTTCAACCCATGAGAAACTATAGATACAGCAACTTGCCTCATTTCTGATACCTTAAAAGTTTCTGGTATCTAAAAAAAGAAAACAGATAAGGAGTATTTAGCTGTAACAACAAATGATGTGCTGGCAACTTCTATAGTTGTTTTATTATGAAACAAACCTTTTAATACTAGATTCAAATTATTAAAAATATAGCTCAAACCTTTCTACGCTGATAAAAATAATATATCATTCATATCGAAACCATGACAGCTCACAAATTAGCTATGTGAAATAAATTACCATACATTTGAAAACTACTCTTACTACATTTCTAAATACAGGGCTATTTTTCCTTTTTCTAAGGGAAACTATAAAGCATACCCCAAAGTACTCACATTCTGGCTTCATTTGGAAAACTATTTGAATGATTAAACCTTCATGTTTATTTCATGTCACAATTTACATTTATGTATTAATTTAAATGGCTAGGGAAGAACTATTTAAAAATTTGTTTTATAAACATGGTACTACACATTTTAAAACTTCCTATTGTAAAAGTAACTCTTTAAAAACATTTCTGGAACATACTATCAAAAAGATACTGTTAGAAAATTTCCCTAGAGTGACACACACAAGCAAATCAAGCCAAAGAATTAGACTGTTTTAGCATTTCTAGGCAATATGTATCATGTCTTAATATGACATGTACATGCACTTAGCAATACTCTTTTCTAATGAAAGAGATGGAGTTGAGTTCATGAGTGTTATCCAAAACTATGCCAGAAGACACAAACGCGTTGCCAGGCAGAGTTAAAAGAATCTAACAAGCTTTGTGTGAATTTTAAAAACATTGTTTGAGCTCAACTTCTATTAATTAAACATAAAATGATGGAGTGCTAATAAATATTCAGCAAAATGACTGAACAGAGCATACACTACTTAAAATGTGTGTTAAGCAGAAAGATAAACCAAAGTATCTTTTGCCATAAAAGATCTCCAAGACTTCATTTTGTATTTTTAAGAGTTAACAATAAAATCTATATAGCATTTCTGTAAGAAAGCAAACTTTGCAGGGGCTTACAAATCAGTAATGCAGACCTAGTGAGTTCTAGCAAACAAATTTGAAGTTAAAGTTTCTTGCCAAAAATTAAACAACAATTACTTTGATACCTTAGTCTTGTTCCTCCTCCAATTTCATAATTTGAAATAACATTTTGCTTTGAATCACTATGGCTTTTATAGAAAAAACATAAAATGGCACAAAAATTAAAGTAACTGTAGATAGTTTATTTTATAGAATATGCATTTGCATTAAAATACACTGGGGAAGTGACTATTTCATATCAAAAATTCAACACAATGTGAACCCTTCAAAAATATAGAAATAAAGTACACAGGATGCAGAAAAAAGAAAAGTATGTTTATTTTCTATATAGATTGTCCTTTTGGTTTATTTTGCTGCTTTGTCCCATGCTAGATACCATGTGAATCCCCCCTAAAATAACAAATATCAGTTTTAATGACGAGAAACCAGTACAGTGCAAAGCAATTCATGCATACAGTTTTGCATGTATGCATTCCTTATGTAAGTATTCATACCTATCCCAGAGGCTCTTTGATTCCTGAAACGTGTTCAAATGGAACGCTTGGTAGAAAGCAGTTGAAGGATTCCTGTGAGATCCGAGAATCAAATGGAAATGAGGTTGAGAATGTACAGTAAAATCACTACTTTTCAAAAGAAGATGGAATATTTTAGATTTCTAATACAGTGTAACTGTTTTGATAATAAAAAGATTAAAAAACCATGTAAGTTTGCTTAAAACAACACTTTGAAAGAAATTAAAAACTGGACAAAATCTGGGAGACCTCAACAATAATTCAGAATCACAGTTTTAAAATAAAGAGGTAATGCAGAGCAAACTAAATACTAAGTAGCATTCAATTTTGTGTGTGTGTGTGTGTGTGTGTGTGTGTGTGCATATAAATGTGACTAATTCATAGCCTAATCAACACTATTCTGTACCGAATGCCTTTATAAAAATCTATCTTGTTTAGCAGTTTAACAATGCTGTTCTTAGGTAGTGTAGTCAAATAAAGTAAGTTAAGCTATTATCTTCACAACGTAAAAACTTTTCTTAGGCTCTGTTAAAAGTAGCAAGGGTTTCATAATTAACAATGAAGAGTTCTTTCCTGGGTTGGACTTGACACATTTCCACCTTCGAAATCCATTATTTTTATGTGTTTTTTTCTGATCTATCTAGAATTGTTCGGCAGCTTTCTAATCCTAGCATTGGTACAGTGCCACTTTAAGGGGTAAAAGCCTATTTATCATAATTATCTTTCATTTCTACCATTCTCTAGCGCTATCACCATAGAATCTGAACTGATGGGCTCTTTTGGACTATCTCTCAGTAAGTACGATATACCTCATATCTGGGGACTGGTTCCACGGGGAACCTCGGCACACTTCTTGGTCTCCCCTACCTCCAGCCTGTACACCTGGGAGCTAACAAAAACTTTGCCACATAACTTTTAAAATTCTTAACCCATGCTGTAGCAGAAGAGCAGCAGTTAAGAATATGTTTATTATGTGTCACACACTATTCTAAGCGCTTTACACTCATCAACTAAATTATGTCAACAGCCCCTACCTAAGAGGTAGGCAACATTATTATTCCCATCTCATGGATGAGAAAACTGGGTCAGACAGAAGAACTTGCCTTACATCACTGAGCTAGTAGGTGGCAATCTAGTTCCACAGTTTATGCTCTTATACCACTACACTAAACACATAGCAGTGTTAAATTTTGACCTCTTTAGGTCTGTCTCTTCATCCGTTAAATGGTTACATTACTACCTAGCCTTGAAGGATGGCTGAAGAATTGACACTATACGTAAAGTTCCTGGCATACAGTAAATGCTCAATAGCTATTATTTTCATGTACAAAATCAGGTTCAGATACAATATGGCAATTATGGGGTACTATTAAAAGTCTTAAAAGTCTGCAGAATTATCAGTACAATAAAAAAAATGACTTCCAACATGCCAGAGAACCACCAAAGTAACTATTTGATTAATTAGGAGTCTAATACGTGTATTTTTCATCATTTGCCCTACTTCAACTCCTTGTTATTCTTTTAACCCTTTCTCCATTTTTCTCCTAACTAGGTCTAAGGCAATCAAAGGCACTGATTAGACCTGCTAATAAGAAAAGCTTAAGAGGCTTCTAACTACTGTTTATTTAACAGCTTACATCCTCTTAAGATGTATTTGTCAGGCCACTTTTTTCACTGTACTTAGAAATCAGTCTGCCAAATCAAATGAAAACCAACTGAACTAACTGAATATTCAACTTGGGTTTTTTTGTTGTTTCTTTTTGTTTTAAAAAAAAAAAAACAGGCTTGCCCAGGAACATATGGGAACTAGTTTACTATCCTCAAAGGTCTGTTTGGAGACCACTAGTTTAAATGGAGTGACTCAAAGAGGAAGGTAGTATATACAAGAGAATAAGACACAGTATACTTGGAAGTTATTCTGCAAGTCTAGAATTAAAAATTCATTAAAGAGTACTAGCAATATATTTATAAGGATGATATTCTTTAAAAGAACTTCATTATTTATTATTATTAATAAGTTTTTTGAAGACGAGTTTCACTGTTGTCGCCCAGGCTGGAGTGCAACGGCACGGTCTCAGCTCACTGCAACCTCTGCCTCCGGGTTCAAATGATTCTCCCACCTCAGCCTCCTGAGTATCTGGGATTATAGGTGCCTGCTACTACGCCTGGCTAATTTTTTGTATTTTTAGTACAGATAGGGTTTTACCATGTTGGCCCAGGCTGGATCTCAAACTCCTGACCTCAGGTGATCTGCACGCCTTGGCCTCCCAAAGTCCTGGGATTACAGGCATGAACCAATATGCCTGGCCTCTTTAAAAGAATTTTAGATCCTCTGACTTTGGAAATATAAATATTTAATTTAAATCAAATTCATATTACAAGTAAATTGGTTCCAAATGAAGTCATATGACTTAAGTTATAAAATTCCAGCAGTTTTACAAAATAGTGAAATATTTCTCTAAAGTCAAATAAATGTAAAAGTAAAAAAAGAACATATTTGTAGTTAGTAGTAGTAAACACTGAGATGGGGAAAGAACCTGTGAAATAAAATACTGTATAAATGGACCTAAATTTTTTAGAACATATTAGAATACACTTAATTTGCAAAAGCTGACAATTAACAATCACTCTTTCTACATACATTCAAAGTGAAGAAGCCACAATACATAGTTTCTATAGTACACAGCTATACAATCTATGTACTACATAAAACTTTAAATAGTCTAGATTTTAAGGATAAAAATTTAGACAGTCTTATAAGCTATGAAATTTTGTTTCTGGGACACTTCAACTGGGATGTTATCCATAAACTGAAGGATTTGTAGCAAACAGCAACAATAATTAGTCTCCACACACTGATTAACAGGTATAGATTAAGGGAGTCAAGTCTGTGAAATCACTGATCAAGGAAGTAGAAGGGAAAAGAGCCAGTTGTAAATATTGAAGGGCTTGATCATCAGAGAGACTTCTATTTTGGAATGGCATAAAATTGAGGAGATTAAGAGCCCACGGAAAAGGCTGTTAATGGGATCATTTCAACATTACAGTCTATGAAACCTGAGAGCATGAAGAGACAACTGAAATTAAAAATTTATTAGAAGGAAATGCTGACTTTTATGCAGCTGTGGTCACAAATTCTCTTCTACTCAAGAAGTAAAATTGAAAACCAGCTTTCTAACAGTTTATTTGATATTAATATAAATTATCATTCTAAATGTAGAGCCAATGAAGCAATTCTAGGAAGACTGAGACGTGGTTTACACTGTACTTCAGCCACCTAAACAAAAATGCTGTTTTTGTATTTGTAAACATTCTTCAAAATCACTGAACAAAACCGTCTTTTCTCCCTACTTTATATATAGTCAATATTCCATCACATTTTCAAATATGTGCTACATCAGAAAATGACTCAATGCATGTGGCATGTCTACCTGTTTTAGCAAGATACTGTCTTTGTAGGGTAACTAACTACAACAGGGAGAATAAAACACAAACACTCCATACATCAAAACTAAGCTACAAAAATTGTCAAAGCTTAAAGCATAAGGTACTTCAGCACTCAACAAATACCTCTTTCTTTTATCTATGCCAAAATTCGACTTCAGAGATCCCTAAATAGGAACCTGCGAAATACAATAAGCAGAAAATCAACAAGCACCATCTCCAGTACTATTATCTGTGGAATTTAAATGATTAAAAATATCCTTTAGGTAAAGGGTTATAAAACAATAAATCAGTGGCTGTATTATGGTATCTCTTCCTTCCTCCTAACTTACTGTCTGCTAAGTAATAAACTTCTAACTTTGGGAATATGGAAAAGCACTGGTTTTGGGGTTAAAGGTCTAAATATGAGTCTATACTCTGTCACCCAATACCCAGGTGACTCAAACTCTAAGAGTCTGTTTTCTTAATCCATAAGGGGGAAGAGACCCCTTTTTTACAAATTGTTGAAGAGATCAAATGAAAGTATATATACATAGGGCCTGATACAACTAAGCTTGCTTTGTGTTTAATATAGCGTGTTAACAGTTTCCAAATTATGCTGTCTATAAATCAAATTTTGTTAACAGTATCTCAACATGTACCAAGTGTTCTGTCATTATCAAGGTAATATTGAGACAAACAGAATACTTAAACTTGGAGCTACGTGTACCAAAATATTTAGTACATTTCATTAGATAAGAATTCTGATTTTTGGGGCTCAGTGCTCCCAAGGTATTCCCTTAACACAGCTTTATCATAGCATTATAATTTAGCATGCAACAATCACTAAAAGGATACTGAAATTGTTTCAAGATATATTTTAACAAAAGTTTCAAGAAACCTTTAACAGCAACTTACTATAAAAATCTAAATTTCTTATCATGACATTTAAGTCCTTCACTTTGGTTCCTGTCAAATTAATAATACCATTTTCCAAATGATACATTCTCACTCTTTCACATTATTATACAAACCACCTTCCACCTCTGCATGGAAAACTATCCCCTTCTCTTCTTAGTGACCTAATCTGAATGACCATTTTAAGATTTAGTTCAAAAGTTAGCTTCAAAAGAATGTACAGGTAATAATAATGGGTTACTTCTAAGGACAGAAACTGGATGGCTGGAGGACAGAGGTGACAGAGAGGCTTTCAATTTTACTCTTTTATATATTTTGAGTTTTGAACTATATAAATACCTATGAAGAGAATAACTTTTAAACAGAAGTCAGTCTACTACCCTCTCAATCCCAACCTGATCTGATGTTCCAAATTGTTCCCATTAGCACCTTATATTTACTCCATCATCACCTACAATATATGTCAAAGTATACATCTGATAGTCATTTTCAAGATGAAAATGCTTGAGATCTAGGAGGGCAGGACAGTCTCACATTTGTATCCCAGTGCTCACTACTTGCAGAGCACCATGAAAGCTGAACTGACTGACATATTGTTTTAAATGTTTTCTTGGGCAATCAACCTACTTAACAAGTATTTGCAAACTTTATTTATTGCCACACAATAGTCAAGTGGCAGGGAAGGGGTGACAAGAAGAAAGTTTTGCAATTCTCTCATGAAGCACACCTGAATGTATGGTCTCACATACATAAGGATAGAAGGAATCTTAAAATTTGACAAAGTCTCAAAAAAGAAAAACAGAGAAGTTTAATGACTTGACCAAAGAAACCAGCTAAATGATAGAAGAGCCAGGACTGGAACACAATTCCCTATATTTCTTGCAACATCATGACTCCTCTGGACTAAAACATCATCTCCTTTTTTCTGACTACATAAATACCATACAATTATACTTCCATGTTAAAATGGAAGATTCTTGGTATGATTCATAGCATGTAAAGGGGTGATCTGGGAGAGCAGTCTGGACACTGAAATATTAACATTTCTGTGATATACATTTGCCTTATATATTATGTTCAAGATTGGTCAAATCGCTTGCATATATCATTTAATCCTTTAAAACTCTCCCAAGTAGGTACAATCCCCATTTTTCTTTTCGTTTTCTTTTTCTTTTTTTTTTTGAGATGGAGTTTCGCTCTTGTAAACCAGGCTGGAGTGCAGTGGTATGACCTTGGCTCCCTGCAACCTCCACCTCCCAGGTTCAAGTGATTCTTCTGCCTCAGGCTCTTGAATAGCTAGGATTACAGGTGTCCATCACCACCTGGCTAATTTTTTGTATTTTTAGTAGAGATGGTGGTTCACCATGTTGGCCAGGCTGGTCTCGAACTCGACCTCAGGTGATCCACCCACCTCTGCCTCCCAAAGTGCTAGGATTACAAGTGTGATTCACTGCGCTTGGCCCAATCCCCATTTTTCATAATGGGAAACAAAAGATCTATGCCAACTAGCTCAAGGTGAAATGCAGCAGTTAGATTTTAGCGCAGGTATGTCTGACTCCACTGTCTCTGTAATGGTCACTCATACATGTTAACACATAATTAAATACACTATTGGTTTTATTTGATCAAAACAGATCCTCCCTCCTTTGTTTTGTCTTCAAAGACTAGGTAAAACAGTACACCAAGCAAAGATTTGTTTTGTTTAACATACAAAACCACTTGATAAAAACTAAATAGTACTGTTTTGGAAACTAACGGGCTTTGCACTTTGCTTTGGGAAACCTTTATCCATATTAAAAGACAAACTTGTGTAATAATGAAGACGAACAGCCTAAAACTAAAAATAACATTTA